CTTCGCTGCCGCCTTTGCTCGCGTCTCAGTGGTGCCGAACGCTGGTCGGGCCGCCCGAGCGCAAATCACAGCTTTTAAGAGACAGAAAAAAGGCCCCAGTGGCGGAACTCGCATGCACCTTCCCCATTCAGGGGGAGGAGGTGGAGGAGGAGGATGACGCCGACGAGGGGGAGGGTGCGGACAGCGATGGTCAGGAGGAGGGGAAGGAGGAGGAGGAATTCGGAAGACGACGAACTGGGGGAGAAGGAGGGGAGGAGGAGGAGGAGGAGGAGGAAGGAGGAGGAGGAGGAGGATGATGATGAGGAAGGAGGAGGAGGAGGAGTAGGAGGCGGAGAGAGGAGGGGGAGGGGGAGGAGGAGTGAAGAGGAGGAGGAGGAGGAGGAGGAGGAGGAGGAGGAGGAGGAGGAGGAGGAGGAGGAAGGAGAGGAGGAGGAGGAGGAGGAGAATAAGAAGGAAGAAGAAGAATACAATAATACGAAAAAATAATAATAATTAAGAAGAAATAAGAGAAGAAGAATAAAATAATAATAATAATAAAATAATATAAAAATAATAATAGAGAGAAGTAAGAATAATAATACTATATACTAATAGGAATAATAGAATAATAAAACGAAGAAGAATAATAGTAATAAGAAGAGAAGAAGCAGAATAAGAAGAAGAATAATACGAAGACTAAAGAATAACGAATAGAGAAGAAGAGAATAAGAATGAGGGGAGGAGGAGGAGAGTAGAAGAAAAAAAATAATAATATAAATATAAGATATAATGATAATAATAAGAGAGAAGGGATAAGAAGAAGAATAACAATACTAAGAATAGAAAGAATACTGAAAATAAGAGCAGAATAAGAAGAGTAATAAGAAGGAATAAGAAGAGTAAAAATATGGGAAAGAAGAATATAACGAATAATAAGAATAATAAGAAGAAGAATAAGAAGAAGAAGAGGAGGAGGAGGAGGAGGAGGCGGAGGAAGAGGAGGAGGAGGAGGAGGAGGAGGAAGAGGAGGAGGAGGAGGAGGAGGCGGAGGAGGAGGAGGAGGAGGAGGAGGCGGAGGAGGAGGAGGCGGAGGAGGAGGAGGCGGAGGACGAAAACGAGATTCACAATTGCGGTGTTCACAACAGCACACCGTTGGGTCCTTCGCCAGGCCAATTGTGCGGCAGTGGCCCGCAGGAGAGGCGCCTCTTCCGCTCCAGGCAGGGAGCCAGGACGGCGCGCCAGAGATGCTCATGGTACCTTCCGCAAGGGCGCCCTCGAGGGTGCGAAGTTATTCGCGCTTCGCGCTTCGCGGTCCGGCTCCAATTTCTCCTCTTCCTCCTCTTCTCCCCTTGGAGGCGGCGCAAGAACGCGAAGGTATTCGCACTTCGCGCCTCGCGCAGCGCCAAACGCGAAGTTGGGAGCCCTCTTTCTTGTTCCGAGCCAACAGCACATATCGAGCACTTGCGACCATTGTTTCCCATATGTCATGCTGGCCAGCGGAAGCAGCCGAACTCCTGCATTTTCGAGACGTCGGCCTCGGTGTCCGACGATGCGAGCGCTGTAAGCGACTGTTGTAGCACGCAGCTGGGGTATCCAGACGTCCGACGATGCGAGCGATTTTTGTAGCATGCAGCTGGTTTCAGCCCCGCCGCCAGGCACCTTCCTCGACGCACGGACGCCTCCTGCCAGGAGGCGCCCGGGGAAATCAGGTACGTACGTGAGCTGATTCGCTAGCCCCCCCTCCTTTATCGACCATTCGCCCGACCGGATCGGAGGAGAGGCACAAGCTGCAAGCTTCAACCGGGCGGCTTTCCAACGGTCCGCGTCCCCAGAGGTTCCGATCCCTTGACCGGGTGCAGGTTTTCATCCCCGATCTTTTCTGGCTGGCCCTGGGGCCCGATGACGGGCCCCAGAGGCCGAGGCGAAGGAAAAATAGGCCGGGATCGAAAGAAGGACTCCTTCAGGTGTCTGCGCCGGCATCAAAGGGTCCTGTCCAAGGGCTCGCTGGCCAGGACTCGGAGGCGAATCCAGCCCCAGCGGCCGAAATCGAAGACAAACGCCCAGACGGAAAGCATCCGATCATCGGAGCTCTGGGAGCTCGCCAGTCTTGGCCAGGTCTGGGGCCCTCCGAGGGGCCCGCAGGCCTTTATCGTGCTCCCCCTCCTCCTCCTCCTCCTCCACCTCCTCCTCCTCCTCCTCCTCCTCCTCCTCCTCCTCCTCCTCCTCCTCTTCCTCCTCCACCACCTCCTCGTCTTCCTCTTCCTCCTCCTCCTCCACCACCTCCCCACCACCTCCTCTCCTCCACCTCCTCCCTCCTCCTCCACCACCACCTCCTCCTCCTCTGCCTCCTCCTCCTCCTCCTCCTCCTCCTCCTCCTCCTCCTCCTCCTCCTCCTTCCGAGAGCTGCGGTCGCCGAACACTGGCGTCTCCACGCGCACGGCATCCATTCTGTAGGGGTCAGCGGCTGGGCGCGGCTGTGAAAATATTGGTGCGTCTGGGCCCCGCGAGGGGTCCCGGTTGTCTCAACTTTGCCCTGCTCCGCGTGGAGTTGGACCTGCTTCCTGCAGCTTCCGACGCGTTGCATACGTGCACCCTGGCAGTACTGGTATTCAGCTACAGCCAGCCCCTTCCACTGCTGCGTGAGGCCTCGCCCCGCCGCTTCAGGTTCATTCGTCGTTGCGTGCCCCGCTTTGACTGGACTCGCCGCTGGCGCGCTCGCCTGCGGCCGCTGACTAAAGGTGGAGTTGGATCTGTCACCGCAGCAGGGTCCATCTCTGAAGCCAGTCGATCCTGCTGGAGACCAGGCTCGGGAGCGGAAGCATACGGCAGGTTCGTATCGGATCGGCGCGGCGCGGCGGCTCCAGCGCCGGCGTTCAATGCTGAACGCCGCCAGTGGCGCAGACTAGGCCCATATCGAACGATCTGCGCTATCGGAAGCCGCGATCGCGCTCTGCCAGAAACCAACGCCGACGCCGCCTTGACACGACTCCGCCGTACCCTACCGTCAGGCATCCGCAGCCCCAGTTTGGAAGTCTGACGTTGGGGGGCGCGAGCGGAAATGACCCGAACACCCAACAGGGAAATCGGTTTCGGTTTCGATGCGTGTGCTGCGTGCGGGCGAGGCGAAGCTGCGCGAGTTCCTGACGTTGTAGATGCCACACGGAGCCCAAAAGGTCGCCCGCGCCCCCCCCCGGCCGAGCGCGGCCCCCGATGGCTGTCCTGCGGGTTACCTTGATGGTTGTCCCGATGGTTGTCCCGATGGTTGCCCCCATGGTTGTCCCGATGGGGGGCCTCTGGCTGTCCCCATGGTTGCCCGACTGTCCCGATGGTTGTCCCGATGGTTGTCCCGACGGTTGTCCCGATGGTGGTTCCGATGGTGTTGTCCCGATAGGGTTGTCCCGACGGTTGTCCCGATGGTTGTCCCGATGGTTGTCCCGATGGGTGTCCCGATGGGGGGCCCCGATGGGGGGCCCCGATGGGGGGCCCCGATGGTTGTCCCGATGGTTGTCCCGACGGTTGTCCCGATGGTGTTGTCCCGATGGTGTTGTCCCGATGGTGTTGTCCCGATGGATGTCCCGATGGGTGTCCCGATGGGTGTCCCGATGGGGGGCCCCGATGGGGGGCCCCGATGGTGGGCCCCGATGGTTGTCCCGATGGTTGTCCCGATGGGGGGCCCCGATGGGGGGCCCCGATGGTTGTCCCATGGTGTGCCCGATGGTGGTTGTCCCGACGGTTGTCTACATGGTTGTCCCGACGGTTGTCCCGATGGTTGTCCCGATGGTTGTCCCGATTGTTGTCCCCATGGTTGTCCCGACGGTTGTCCCGATGGTTTTTCCCGATGGTTGTCCCGATTGTTGTCCCGATTGTGGTTCCGATGGTAATGTGCCGATGGTTTTCCCGATGGCTGTTCCGACGGTTGTCCCGAAGGTGGGTCCGATGGCAGTGTCCCGATGGTGTTGTCCCGATGGTGTTGTCCCGATGATTGTCCCGATGGTTTTCCCCGATGGTGTTGTCCCGACGGTTGTCCCGATGGTTGTCCTGATGGTTGTCCCGATGGTTGTCTCGATGGGTGTCCCGATGGTTGTCCCGATGGTTGTCCCGATGGTTGTCCTGATGGTTGTCTCGATCGTTGTCCCGATGGGGGGGGCCCGATGGTTGTCCCGAAAGTTGTCCCGATGGTTGTCCCGCTGGTTGTCCCGATGGTTATCCCGATGGTTGTTCCGATGGGTGTCCCGATGGTTGTCCCGATGGTTATCCCGATGGTTGTCCGGATGGTTGTCCCGAAGGTTTTTCCCGATGGCTTGCCCGATGGATATCCCGATTGTAGACCCAATGGTTGGCCCGATGGTGTCTCGATGGTGGATTCCTGAGTGTGGATACGGAGTTAGATAGATGGGAAGATAGATATATACATATGCCCTCTTTTCAAAGTAGAAGCATAGCCAGCTGACGAGTGTGCCGTAATTCGGTTTCTGGTTCAAGCTCTTTCCCCCCAGTGCCCATTTTGGGCGGGGCTGAGGTGCTCTTCGAGGGAACCGCTAATTCTCTGATCCCCTCCACCTCAGCGGCCGTCCTCACCTGGGCCAACCGTGTCCAGTGCCCTGATTGTCGGCCTGTGGTCAATTGTGATTGCTCGAGCTGCCCCACCGTCAGCTGCGGTAACGTGATCAGGCAGGAGGCTAACGGCGCAACCTGGCTGGGCTCGCTGCTTTGGGGCATCCTCCTCGTCAGCATCGGCATCGCGTTCGCATGGCTACCCCTTGCTTGGGCCTCCACGGCCCGAAGCGCGCCTCACCCCGCCCGAGTGGTGACTACGGAGGCGATTGAGGTGGGGCCGATCGCGGAGCAGGCCTGGCTGCAGCTGGAGGCCCTGGCGCTGAAGCGGCGGGTGAGCTCTCGCTCTGAGGGGCGGTGATGGCGGGTGCCATGCCCGGCCCAGGAGTGTACACCATTCCGACTTCATACCACGACGACTACAGCGAGGACACCGCCGTGGCGACCGACATCATTGAGGCAGTGCAGCCGCCCCAGGGTTGGCAGGGTGGCGGGTTGCCGTTGGCCGGCGGCGCGGTCGCCCCAGCCCCAGTCTCCCGCTTTCGCGCTCTGCCGCTGCTGGCTCGGCTGTGTGGTGCGATGGCCGCGGGAGTCGCGCGGCGGGGCTTCGCCTTGGCGGCCGAGCCCTTCTCACGGAGCACGGTTGGGCGACCGCTCTCGGTGGGGGCCGGCATGCCCGTGCAGGCTGGTGGCCTCAGCGAGGGCGGCTTCCTCGATGTCAGGTACGACGCCCCTGGACCAGTTCTGGGGCACGAGAGGGTCGTGGTCTCCAAGCCGTGCCCGCCGCTCGGTGGCGCGGCGTCGTCCGACGGAGAGGGCCCGGCCGCCCTGGCCGCCTCCCTGCAGCTGGCTTCCCAGCGGGCACCCGGGTGCCCCCAGCGGTCGCGGGCCCACCCGTGCCGGCCGCAGCGGCCGCACCTGCCGGGGCCAGGAGGGGCTGCGCCGCAGCGGCCGCTACCGCCCCTGGCCCCGCCGGAGGGGCTGCTGGTGCAGGAGCCGCGGCAGGAGCAGATCGGGCGGCCGCGCCCCCGGTGGCGGCCCCAGGAGGAGGCCCCCCGCTGGCGGATGGCGCGGCGCCAGACGGCGGTGGCGTGGCTGGAGCCCCCGTCTACGACTTGCGGGTGCAGGCCCTCGAGGTCGATTCTCAGAGTGTGCGATGTCGCGTGTTCAGGGCTGCCGTCACCATTCCCACGGTCACGCCGTCTGCGGATTGGCCCGTGCGCGGGCCGAGCGCCCTTCCTTGGGTCAGCAAGTTCATCGTGGCCAACGACGGGCCGCCTGTGGCCAGGCACAACCGCTTCATGGCGGGGGCCCGCCTCGACGGCCCTGAGCCTGGGGTGGAGGATCACCTCCGCGTGTGCATGGCCGTGGGTACGGCCGCCTGCTTTGGCCTGCTGAACATCATTGAGATCGCGTCCTTCGAGTGGCTGGGGCGTTCTCTTCAGGTGCAAGGAGAGCGCCACAGTGGTCGCGACATCGGGTCTGAGGACATAGTTGATTCTCACCTCTTCTGGGGTTCGGACCTCGCCAGAGGCAACGCGTGCGTGGCCCAGCAGCTGCAAGATCGGATCGCGCAGGAGCTCGCCAGGGAGATCTCGGCGATGAAAGAAAGACGAGGGGCTCGGGAAGAGCGCATCGCCAGCCGCCAGCCTCGTAACAACAAGAAGGCGGGGGGCAAGGAGCAGGGGTGAATGCCGCCGCCGACGCCGGGACAAGGGCACCGGTGTGCGGCGACCAGACGCGTGAGCCCCCTCCGACCGGGGCGCCACGGTCGGGCACGACATCTGATGGCGCTGCCTCTGTTCGTACCAGAGACATTTTTCCCCTTCCTCTTCTCCCCTCTCCCAGTAGGCCTGGCCGCGGTGCCTCCAACGTGAGTGGCGGCGTCATCCGACGCCGTCGCAAAGTTAAGCATTCTGTCGACTGGGCCAACGATGCCATCTCCTCCCTCAATAGTGCTTACGGCTTTGGGCCGGCCTGCCGTTCTGCGAGCCCGACCTCTTGCCAGAGGAACGTCCTCGATCGCATAGGTAAGCAGTTTCGAGAGGCCGGCCCCCAGCCAGCTGACCTCTTTTCTGGCGCGGGAGCCCTGAGTGAGCTCTGCGCCGCTAGTGGTCTGTACGACTCTGCACCCAGAGGGTCGGTCTGCCAATATCTTAAGCAACCTCCGGAAGAATTTTATGTTGACTTTGTCTCCGGAAGAATTACGCAGGCGTTTTTGACCAGCGAATTCTTGCGCAGGCGTTTTTACATCAGTTTTAGAATTCGCATCCCGTCTGTTTTTTTCCACAGATCGGAGTCGTTGGTCTATGAAAGAACTTCGTCGTGGCATCGTTTTATCTTACGAAGATTCGGATGAATGTTCCTGTTTAGCTACGCATGCGATCTGTCAATGTTTTGTTAGGGGCTTGTGAATATTGTTTTTGCGGCCTGCGTAAGATCACTTTTGCGAGGGTGACGTTTTGCGCGGCCTTGTCAACGCTGGCGCATGGGTCACGCGCCGAAGCGCCGTCGAACGCAACCCCTCGATCCTTGAAGCTGTTGTAAATCTTATAACAAATGTGCGCGGCGTTGAGGCAAGAGCTGGCGATCGTACCAGCTGTTGACGAATGTGCGCGGCGCCAAGGCGGATTAGGACAAAGGAAATAGGGGGCGAGGAAAAGGAGGAAGGGAGGGAGGACGGCACCCCCGTCCGTCCGCCCGCACGTGGCAGCGCCCATTGTCGCAGGCGGCCTCGCTCCAGCTGCAGGCCCCCGTTCCTTTCCTCCTCCTCCTCCTTTTTCTCCTCCTCCCTCCCCCTCCTCCTCCTCCCTCCTCCTCCCTCCTCCTCCCTCCTCCTCCCTCCTCCTCTCCTCCCCCTCCCCCCCCCCCCTCCTCCTCTTAAGCCTACTCCTCCTACTCCTCCTCCGCCTTCTCCTCCTCCCCCTCCTCCTCCTCCAGACCGCCGCGCCCCGAGGAGGAGGAGGAGGAGGAGGAGGAGGAGGAGTAGGAGGAGGAGGAGGAGGAGGAGGAGGAGGAGGAGGAGGAGGAGGAGGAGGAGGAGGAGGAGGAGGCTAGGCAGGGTCGCGGCAGCAACTGTTGTATACTTCTGGACATCCTTATCTGACATTCTCCCTGACATCAGGATCGACGCGGTGGCAAAGATGCAATGCCGAGGGCCATGGCTCCGCGGGCACCCAGTTCCCCTCCAAGGGGGGGCTCTCCACAGTCCTCGGGAACCACGGTCCTCGGCATTGCCGCGTTGCTACCCCGATCTGTGATACGCACCGTCCCTACGAACGACTGGTAGGGGGGGGAGGAGGAGGAGGAGGAGGAGGAGGAGGAGGAGGAGGAGGAGGAGGAGGAGGAGGAGGAGGAGGAGAGGCGGAGGAGGAGGTGGAGGAGGAGGAAAGTAAGGAGAACGGGAGGAGGAGGCGGAAGGGAGGAGGAGAGCAGGAGGGAGCGGAAGGGGGAGGAGGGAGGAGGAGGAGGAGGAGGGCAAAGGAGGGAGGAGGAGGAGGAGGAGGAGCAATAGGAGGAGAAAAAGGAGGAGGATGAAGAGAAGAGGAGGAAGAAGGAGGAGGAAGGAGAGGCCCTCCATCTCCTCCTCCTGCTCCTCCTTCCTCCTCCTCCTCCTCCTCTTCTTCTCCTATTTCTCCTCCTCCTCCTCCTCCTCTCCTCCTTCTTGCCCTCCTCCCCCTCCTCCTCTCCTCCCTCCTCCCCTCCTCCTCCTCCTCTTCCTTCTGTTCCTCCTCCTCCTCATCATCATCTCCCTTCCTCTCACTTTCTTTTCATCCCTCGTCGAGCTCGCGAGGGCTCAGGCTCGCGAGGGCTCAGCTCCCTCGTCAATCAACCTTGACCACCTGGTACATCGTGTAGTACACCACTGCGGCCACCGCCTCGCCAGCGGGGGGGGGCACGCTCTCCCTCTGCCCTCCTCCTTCTCTCATTCACCCTCACCGTCCCTCATCCTTCCTACTCACTTCCTCCGTTTCCTCCCTCCCTCCTCCCTGCCTCCCCCTCCGTTCTCTTCCGTTACTCTTTTTTTCTCTACAGTGTTGGCCCCGCGTGGCCTTCTTGTATTCCTCTGGATATGTATCACGAGCTTCATGGGTGCGAAACTCGGCGTGGATTTTATCGCAGGTCTCGTTCAACCCTATCCGCGGGGTTGGTGGAAGCCTCCTGTCATCGTCTTTTTTCCATCCTGGAAGCAGTCTGTGATCTTCGGGGCCTCTCCAATCAACTAGGTAGTTCAGCACTCGTTCGCGTAAGGTCTCACTGCAAATAAATATTGTAGGCCTCGGCAAGCTGTAACCATATCCTCAACCGCGTTCTCACAACATTCAGACTTCTACCCATCCCTTCCCCCATCCTCAGTTCCGCCTCCCTCGTTTCCGAATGCGATTCCGTCCCAATGCGATCGCACGCGGATGGACGGAGGGGAAATGAGCGAGGGGGTTGGCATGGGTAGAGGTCCGAATGACGAGAGAGAGAGAGAGAGAGAGAAATAGAGAGAGCCGTCCTATCAACCAAGACGTCGCCGTGCAGCTCTTGAGCTCCGCGTGGGTCACCACCTGCGAGGGGTGCAGATGCAACGTGGTGTCGGCTAAGGTCTCCTGCAGGTAATTGACGTTTCGATTGTAGGCAATCTCACAGAATTTGGCACAGATCTCGGCAATTCCGTTCGCGTCTCGTACACATTGTAATGATGTGTTCCCTGTGATGTCGTCCAGGGACCTGTCATATATGTTCCGCTCTCTATGTCTCCACGTTTGGTCAGGAGGGGTCATCATAACTGTGCCGCCAGGCTTCACTCGGTAAAGTAGCATGCCTGGGGTTCAGACTTTACTCCTCTCTGTGTCTTACTCCTCCTCCTCCTCCTCCTCCTCCTCCTCCTCCTCCTGTCTCCTCCTCCCTCCTCTTTCCTCGCTTGATCTGTTTACTCCTGCTCCTCCTCGGGGTCTCCTCCTTTCGAATCCTCCTACCCCTCAGCCTCACCACTCCTCCCTCTTCCTTCCTCCCTCCTCCCTCCTTCACCCCCTCGCATCGGAGGAAGGAAGGATCTGTTATGGATTCGATTTGTTTGCTGTATTGTTTTGGAAATGGTTGGGGAGGTGAGTTGTTGATGAATTGAGTTGCAGATGAAGATGCCTGCATAAATCAAGGGCACTGGCCCGCCCGTGCACTCCTCCAAGAGGTCCTGCTGGAACCAGTGGATGAACTTGAACTCCTCACGCATGCTCTGCCTGGCCTCGCCCCAATCGAGCTCGTGGAGCTTCTGGAAGGCGTCCACAATCTCCCCGAACCCAAACTCGAGGAAGTCGAGATCCCTGATGATATACTTGTCGATCAGGGTCAGCTTGGCCAGGGACGTGGCGATCCACTGTGTCGGGTGCGACGTGTCGTACTCCATGTCTCCCACGAGTTTCCGAATAATGTTGTAGATGTATTGCGTTTCATCATCGTGCTGTAGATCAGCTGCACGTGCAGCCTGGCAGCCGGCAGGGAGACGAGGAAACACAGACGACGATCCACCGAGAAACATACCGACGTTCCCCTGTTTGGCCAGACTCTTTTTGCATCGTTCCAACTTGGGCTTCAAGGCATGGTGTGAAACAGATCCGCAAGGCCACTTACCAAACTGCAGCGGGCGATCTCGTCCGTTTTGCGGGCTCATGGACCTAAACTGGCCAAGTCGCATAAACTTCGACAGATCGCTACCTCCGTCCGTCATCGTTCGTCGTTCGTCGTTTGTCGTTCGTTCAACGAACGACAAACGACGAACGACGAACGATGACGTCCCTCGTCCCTTGTCCCTCCTCCCTCCTCCCTCCTCCCTCGTGCACCGTATCATGCAAAATGACTAGCACCCTGCAGCCTCGGCAACAATTGAAGCCTGCAGTGTATATTCCTCTCCCACGTGGAAGGATGGGACGCATGGGCGATGCCAGCGACGAGTCCGTTGAGGGACTCGTCTAAGAACGTGGAGTAGCAGCGCGGGTTCCCATTCATGGGAACCAGCATCACCAAATGACACCATAAATGATGTTTAGGAATAAATTTGCCGCCCCCTCTCTCGAAACACGTGATATGCCTGTGGAATGTGTCCATCAACTCTTGCATGTCCTTGTGAGGCAACGTAGGGCCCCCATCCCTGATAATGGCAAGGTGTCTCAACAAAGCATCGGCCGCAGGTAACAAATAGTCGCCACCGACGCATGCGAAGTCTACTAGAAGCTGACGGGCCCAACGGACAAGAGGCCCTGTTTCTGCAGCCTTGGTGTGGACGGGGCCGTTCGGCCCATCGCCGAATATCTTCGGCGTTACATCCCTCAATCGATACGATAAGTCTACATTGTGTGTCTCATAGAAGTTCTGCAGATGGAGACGCAACATTTTGAAATTCGCCGAACGCCTCTCGTCTTTATCACCCGTAGCTTTCCAAGGATTGGCTGCATGAACCCTCCAGACGACAACCTGGACCATTTTCTGACACACTCCGAGGTATAGCGTATGAAGCGTGTCTATCCTCAGAATACTTCTGCAATCGCCAACTATACTTGGATGCAGCATCGGGTTCCTGCGCGTGACTGGGTCGACGCAGGCGCCCTTGTGCATGCTCTTGCGCCAAAACGTTAATCGAATTGGCGCGCTGTCATGCGATAGCGACCAAATGTCTCGGAGGTCATTGGACGGTTCCAGCCGATCGAGC